GCAGAAATGCTTCTGACCTCTGGAAATCACTTGAGGGGAGAGTGCTCCTGTGCTCGAATCCTGCCTGATGGTTTCCCACAGGCATCAGGTTGGCCACGATGAGAATAGGATGATGAGGTAGAATGGCTATTGGCCTGATTCAGCAGGCTCTTCTTACGTTCTTAAGAAGACATTCCAGCCAAGCAAAGGTCCAGAACAGGGTTGGTGAAGAGTGTGACCTGAGGAGAAGGTGTGACCTGGAAAGAGTCCTGGTCTCAGGGTCCCTCATCCTCTCCAAGGGATGTTCACTGCAATGTATATATTATTGAAATATGCATGGCAATTAGTTTCCATTAAGAAAGTTTGCACGTGAAAGTTCCAAAATATTTAATGCAATGTTTATCGGCGGGAATATATTTAATTGTGTAGTTAACATGATTACACTGAATCTGAATTGCTCCCCCCCCAAAAAAAGACGCTAAAGTATTTGAAAGCATTTTCAATCATTTTTTGGATTAAAAAGATAAACTCCACACCTGTGCATTTGATGTAATTACAATGTATCAAAATAACTATCTTCCCATTCTGCATATTTTAGTCATCTTTCCTTAAAATAGATATATTTGATGTGCCTTCAATCTTTTTAATGAACTCAGTGTGATAGTACATTTGAAAATGGGTTCTTTAGCTTGGAAAAGTACATTTTTGTCTGGGCCAGAAGATAAAATGCATGTGTACATTTGTTTCCAGCAAGCACCATTATCAAAACAAATTATTTTAGCCAATTACTGAAATTTGTTTACCTTAGGGTACATTCTAGAAATTTAAAATCCCCTAAAATAGCTATGCAAAAAAAATGATAATACAAAATCCATGCTTGACACATCTCTTGCCTCCACTTTACATCCATCCTTCAGTATATTACAGCATCCATTGGTGGTCATGATGCAGGATTAGTATCAACTGCCCTGCTGCCATAGAATGGCCCAACCTGGGAACCTCTTCTAGCAGAGAAAGGGACTTCCTCATCAAAAGAGGTCAGCTCCCCATGGCTATTGCTTTTGAATGATGGTGTAGAACTGTGATGTAAAGGAGTGTCTGGTCATAAGCCCTTTTCTTTGGAATAGAGAAGCAGAAGAGGCCTTTGCTAACATGAATAAATACTGGGATTTTTTAAATTTTTTAATGGATAGAGAAAGGGTCCATGTTGGAATGGAGTGAGGGTGTTGGCATGAGCTTACTGCTAGGCATCAGACAAATAGGTACAAGAGCTAGGGTGAACTGTGATGACCATATAAGTCAACTATGTGCATTAACCACTTGATAGACCAGTCAACTGGATTTACAGCTGACCATTCATTAAATAATAACTTACCACAGAACCAAATTACCTTCTGTTCAGCCGTTTCGTGTTAGGATCGTGTTGCTGCCTGAAACATCCAGCCAAATATTATGGGGGATTTTCCTGTACATCGGGAGTATATATGTAGTGGAATAGGTGGTAACATGACTTTCTGTATCCACACTCAAACTAGTCAAAAGACTCTTATCACACTTCTACACCTAGTCAGAAATCCAGTGAACTAGGTTTGATTAAAGTCATCTGTCAAACCTCAGATGTTCAATATCTGATATTTTAGTATTGGTCATTGTAGATGTAGTATTTATAACAGGTTGTAGTCCCATTGTAAATACTATGTCTTCAGCGAGTAGATCCACTGAAATAAATAGTTTCTGTGGTGGTGACCATTTTGCCGCACCAGAAGTCCCCATTTTATTTTGTTGCTGTTGCTGTTGTGCCCAGCACAGTGAAGAACAAGTAAGAAATCTAAATTAACAACAAGAACAACTTTTAAGCATTCCTACCTCCCCTAAGGGCAATAAACTAAACTAAAAACACGCTTTAAACTATCCATTGTGGTTGAGTGGTGGTGCATCACATTCCCAAAGACTTTTAAGGAGATTCTGTCTTAATTATTCTGCTCAGGGATGCTTTGTTATGGCCACAGTGGAGCTAATTTGCCTTATATATTATCAGCACAACTCAGTCACCCCTTCCTTGGCTTTTGACTTGTGCCTAGTGTGTCATGGAAAGCTGGGGTGTGAAGTTTCTGGATTGCTTCATTAAACGTCCTAACACCTACAGCTTTACTTGCTTAAAAAATGCTATCTGCATATTGATGGTACTTGACAAGGCAGACACTGGGACTACTGGCTGAGCCCTAATGATCAGAATCATTTAAAAAGCATCAATAAAGCACAGGCTTCAGTAGCAGTTCCTCTATGACACAACTAGAGTGAGCACACAGCAAGGGAGCCAGCATCATGCGCGCCAGACTCACCCGGGGTCACCTTAATGCTCTTGTGTTCCTCATTCTTATGCATGCAACAAAGTTCCCTTGGCTCAAGTGCTCTCCTTAGCATTATAAATCTGTGGCAGAAACATCTGAGATTCACAGCTGGGTGTCAAGGGTGATCCATCTATTCTGATCTTTAAAAGTTCTCTGCAGGCCATCCATCAAACATGCAAACGGCCCTCTTGCCTTGAAAATGTAACGTCCTCCGTTTCACCAAAAAGCTACCAACAAAGAAGATGAACCTGTTATGCAAATACGATGGAGAGCCATATTAGACCCATAGAACATTTAGTGTTTGACAAACCCTTCCCCTGTTTTGATTTGGATTTGGGCTCAACAAATAGAACACTGTTGCTTTAAAAACTGGGAAATAGCTTGGTTAATTCCAACTCTAGGAACAGAGGTGGAGGTTGCCTTACCCTGAATCAAAGCAATATTCTATGTAGTTCAGTACTGTCCAAAGCAGGAATGGGGAATTGATGGATTAGAACTCCCATCGCTCCTCTTCAGTAGTCATGCTGGGTGAGGATTACAGGTGTTGTAGGTCAGCAACATCTGGAAGGTGACAGGCATTGGGAGCTTATCCTGGCTCTGGCACTTCTTGGTTCCATCCAGATGCTTGATTTTTTTAAAAATTAAAAACTGACCACCTTGTATCAGCTACAGAGATGGACCTTAGTCTGATCCAGCAAGGCATTTGTTGTTGTTATTTGTTTTTTCCTAGCTACTACTAGTTGTTACTCTTCTTCATGATCCTCCATTCCTTCGCACATCAAACCTTTATCTCATTACATCCTCTCTTTCTTCATGAGTCTGTTCTCCAAGTACCATCTCATAAGTAGCTCAAACAGTACCATCGACATACCAGAGGGAGGCACCTGCAACCTTGTGGGGAGGAATCATCTTGGGGGAGGAATCCTATTGAGAGGAACCAAGTGCAGCCCAATGAGGACTGAATAGGTTCAGCTGACATGGAATGGTGACTGGCTGGCTGATCAGGGGCAGGGGGACCAGGAAGGAAGGGAATTGAATATCCTAGAAGAGGCATGGCTAGAACCTGAACAGGGGCACGTCACACTGCAACAGTCTGTTGCAGTTCCTCCTCCTCCTGAAGTTGATTTGTAACCAGAATTTCTATTCAAACAGAGTAATTTTTAGAACTTACTTGCTTTGTGTTCCCAGGTAACTCAATTTCCAAGGTGCAGTTTTCATAAAAGGTGTCCCTATCATTTGAGAATTTTGCTGAAGACCTTGGTCTAAATATTGTATTTGTTTTTGTTTAATTTTTCTTCTGTCATTTTAATACTGAAGAGAGACTAATCAAGTTGTATGAGGCAAAGCAGAGGATAAATGAAAGCCCCCCCTTTTTTTTGCAAGAGTTAAAATTCCCTTCCTCTGCAAAGGAAAACTCCTGCAAAAAAGAGATTGTGAACAAAAGGAGCAGCAACCTTGACTGACCCAAAAACCTCCACCAAACCTATAAGTGTTTTAGGTGGTATCAGATCCAGAGGGCTGACATTTCAGAAAACCAATTGGTTCATTATAAGTGTATTCATGTAAATGTTTACAATTTCAATGCAGACTCTCAAGATAAGAACTTTTTAAAAAATTACAATGGCAATGTTATCATAAGAGGAGACTTTGTGGAAGTCTCAGATCTAGTCACACACATACCAACTCACAAATTTTCCACTACAGGTGGGTAAAACTGTTTATGGCATCTTGTTTATTTGACTGAATGAGATCAACCTATTTCATGTTTACAAGACAATGTGCTAAGTTGGCTAGGGCTAGTCAGTGACCTTCATGGCTGAGCTATGATGTGGATCCAAATCATCCTAGTTCAACACAGCATCCACTTGGGCAATGCTCTCCTCAGGAAAGCTCGCTTGGTGCCTTCATTACATAGCTTTAGGCACCAGGCAAAAATGTTTCTCTTCAGCCAGTTGTTTGGCTGATTAGCATTCTATGGATTTTTAAACGTGTTAGTAGAAGGAGGGTTATTGGTTTGTTTTTGTTTCTTTGTTTTCATTTTGTTATATATTTTGTATTCACATTTTGCATTTTTCTGTTGTGAACCACCCTGAGATCTTTGAAGGAAAGTGTATGAAGTATTTATTATTATTATTATTATTATTATTATTATTATTCCATCTTTTTTTCCTCATTCAACTGGATTATTTTTAAATGCAACAGCTAGTCTACAACAGCTAGTGAGTCAAGGTAGATGCTGCAGCTACATCTATCTCATCATGCACCAGTGGAATTTCAAGTAAGACAAGGTGAAGTGCCATCCCACCTTCCATATACTCAGCCATGTGTGGGGAACCCATGGCTCTTCTGATATTGCTGAACTACACCTGCCATCTTCCCCGGCAAATGGCCATGCTATCTGGGGCTGTTGGGAGTTGTCGTTCAGCAACATCTGGAGAGCCAAAGATTGCCCGCACCTGTACATGGCAAACAACTTAAAGATCAAATGAAATGAGACTTGGATGAATATTTTCAGCTAATGTCCTCATTTTCTCTGCCCAGGCCATCCCGTAGAAGTAGACAACATGTTTGCAGGTGGGCATATGAGTGCTTCCACCACCACATTCATAAATACTTGAAAGCCACCAGAGAAATAGCAATAACTGAGCTGGAAACCAACATTTAAGATAACCTGTAGCAATTTGTCTTGACCTTTACTTCTTAGCTTTATAATTTGTCTCTGCTGAAATTTGAGTTGACTGAGGGTAGGTGGGGAAAGAAATGCAGTTAGGACAAAATTCACACTGTAGTGTGCTAAGTAATTTCACTGGGAAACAGAAGGGCTTGTAGATTATAGCAGGACCCAAATTTCACTATTAAGTGTTGGTAGCAGGAAAATATATCAGGCACCTAAAAAAAGAAAAAACAGTTGAAAAGTGTTAGTTGGGTTTCTACATGAAGGAATTGGACCAACCAGATTAGAATGCTGTACTGTTTCTTTATGGTTCTGCAGAAGGTTTTATTACAAATGCCCTTGTAGGTAAATAGGACAGGAAATGTCGTCAAGAACAGTTGTTCTTGACAGGTGTCACCAGCAGATGTATCTAAATTTGGATTAATTCCAGTTTTTTTAATGGTGATGAGCGGCCATGCTTAGATGCATTTTAGAATCATTATTAAGACTTGTATTCAACACAGCGCTCATGAGAAAATTCTACTAGCGCAAGGATTTCTCCTTGTCTAATGGAAGGTTCTCCAACTTTCTGGTCCCCAGTGTGTTCTGGGTTTCCCCCAACACTCAAGAGAAGATTTGGGGATGGTGTGGTGTGTGTAGGTGTGAGGAAAGTGGGAGAAATTCCCTTGCATTAGCTCTCTTGTGTGGTGGAACCAATGTTCCCAATGCCAGGAACACACACTAGATCCCCACCTTAGAACTGGACAGAGAGCCTGGAGAGAGAGAGAGAAAGAGAGAGAGAGAGAATTTCTATAGGCCACAGCAATTCCCCCTCTCCATCCCTTGATTCTGCCCTGGTGTTGCACCAAGTACCCAGGTGAGTGTTGAATGGTTTCTTAATATGTAAAGGTTCATCATTGTTCCACTCAATGTGTATGTCTTTAAGGGGCCAGAGCAAGGCCCAGAGCAAGATAATGAGACCCAGCTTTACAGCTGTGAAACATAGCAGGTGCTGCTGAGTTGCATTGATTAAGCTGTGTAGGCAATTGGATGTAGTACATAAATAGCAGCACCTAGCTCTCCCATTACCCTGGGGGATGGGTTGGTGGTTGGGTCTGGTTTGTTGTTGATGTATTTAGTGTTTAAGGAGTTTTTGTTTTTGTAATTAAAACCTTGTTTAAGTTATTTTTTGAGTCCCTTTTTAATGCACGGTCTCCCCAGCAAGCTCTCTGCAGCGTTACTATACTGCAAATAGGCAACAGTGAGCACAGCTAGGTGAAACCAACTTCACCCTGCTCACCCACCCAGGTCTCAGTGGTACAGACCAGATCAGCCTTCTCATTCATCAGATCATGGATGGGGGAATTATTGCTCCTAGCCCAGAAAGAGGTTTTTACAAGCAGCCCTAGTGAAGAAACTGTGAAATAGATACTGGATGCCGAAGTCAGTGAGCTTATTAAAAAAAAAAATCTTTCCTAAGCTCTTTATTTTATCTAGGCTCTGTGAGGCAACTCACCTAGGTCCTTTCATTCCGTTTGCAGTTGAAGAGAGAGCTCACAAATAAAGCACAAAGATAATTATATGCCAAGTACCTCCAGGACTTACCCTTTGCCCTCCCTGTTGTGAGGCAGGCGTTGCAGAGCTCCTAGCATATGCAATGGCTTACAATAATCACCATCCTTTGAGGATTTTGCAGACCATCATTAAATTTTGAGATACACTGAAGTGGGCATTTGTATCATGATATGTATAACACATGCACTTGCACATAGACCTTACCTAAAATAGTCTCATAAACCCTTGCATTAGGACCCTTTCTACAGCCTCTCAGATACATGCCATTGGCACAAGGCCCAGACTCTATTTATTTTCTCATAAATTGGCCTGGTCATTAATGAGAACTCATATTTTCATGTATACCCTACACAGCATCTTGGCAATATTTAAAAATGAATGCAGCAGTGCAACTCAGACTAATGGTGGCACTGTTTTTTCATACCTGCACTAATATTATATCAGTATATTAATTTAATTTTGCATCCCCTCAGCCTTTCGCAGGAATCTCAGAAGAGCGGTCAGTCTTACGGAAAATTAGATTCATCAGTTCGGAGTGACTATGCAATGATAATGACATGCTACTTTGACATGCCTTATAAAGAGAATTATTCTGAGTATCTTAAAAAATGTTAACCTTATCAAACAAATATAAACCATTTCCCTGTTTTCTTGTATCATGCTATGAAATACTGATCGAACACTTATTCTGCTATGGCATGTCAAGCAAAAACGTATTTAGTTGCTGTGATGTTCACTAAGCACATTTTAGAGAGTACAATTTAAAAACCATCGCTTATTGTGATGGTGTAAAAACCATGGCTTATTTGTATTTGTTTCACCATTGGCTAAATTTGGACCAGATCAGATGTGCTAATAATTAGAATGCAGAAGCCCTAGTGTGGAAACTGAAATTGAACCATCTATAAAGGCGGAATAGAATCATTGAACTGTAGAAGTGGAAGGAACTACAAGGATCATCTACAGGAATCTTTCACCCAATGTGAGGGTTGAACCCACAATCCTCAGATTAAGTGTCTCAGGCTCTACTGACTGAGCTAAACTCTCAACGCTTACTTCTAAACTCTGGAAGTTGAACTCAATACATCTTACTTTAACAGACATGCATTACATTCTGTGGTTAAGGGTTTATTACAGAAGGGGTGATTGTTGGACTAAACTGGCAAGCCACACCTGTAGAAGAAGAAGCAAACTGAAAGTGTGTAGAGTACAAAAATTATTTACTCCAGGATAGGGATGGGGAAATCTGTCAATTTCAGTTTCTGTCAGTTTCTCATTTTTCTAATATTAAGTTCAGTTTTCCACATTCCCACATCACTTTGCCAATTCGTTTTTTTCTTTTAAAGTCCTCGTGGAAGTTCACCAGCATTTTTGTGTGAATATTCTAATTCTAAAATACACATTTTTGTATGCAGTGTTGTCCAATGCACACATTCTGCAAAGCAATTTCCCATAACGTAATGTATTTTTGTATGTTACAGTGGTACCTTGGGTTAAGAACTTAATTTGTTCTGGAAGTCCGTTCTTAACCTGAAACTGTTCTTACCACTGTACCACTTAGCTAATGGGGCTTCCCGCTGCTGCTGCGCCGCTGCCCCCCCCCCCCGCAATTTCTGTTCTCATCCTGAAGCAAAGTTCTTAACCCGAGGTACTATTTCTGGGTTAGCGGAGTCTGTAACCTGAAGCGTCTGTAACCCAAGGTACCACTGTATTTGCACAAATATGTGTATTTTAACACACAGTTTATCACGTATATGCATTTTTGTACACACTACTTAGTTGTGGAAGTGGTTGAAAAATTCAGAGAAGTGAAAATTTTGAAGGATGCCTTTTTTAGTCCGTGTATTATTTCGGAAACTGCAAACTAGGTAGCTTTGCCTTTAATTTGAATGGTGCAGCTCTGTCATGCTGTCCATTGCTGCTTGCAAGAGGAAACTTTGTCTCCTAACATCAGGTAAATATCAGGTTTTATATAGTTAACCTTGACTTCTGTAATTGCCAATTATTTCCTGGGAGGGCTACTCCTTTAACACCTACCTGACAGAAATTTAACAAGGCTTTCATATCATTTTCATGCTGAAATGAACTTCATCTTCTCAGTTTCTGCCTGCCTGTCATTAAAGGCACGGGCATCATGCTAGCAAGGGGAAGCCCAACTCAGCTTTGAAAGGCGTCATGCTAGGAAGAGAGTAAAACATGCGAAACATTTATAACCCTACATAAGGATTAACAACAACAAAAATCTTTCTGCCATTTAATCAAGTATCAAAGATGAACAATTTGTTCAGCACTGGGGACCATATCAGAGACATATCATGAGCCAGAAAACTGCAGCAAAGCAGGGGTATTATTTGTTTGTTTGTTTATTAGTTATTTAAACATTTATATACCACTGTATCATAAAAATATACCACAGCAGTTTACAACAATAAAACCAGACAACATTAGTTGTGTACATCTGATGTGGTTTACCTGCCTTTTTCAAGAACATTAGGGATCCTGAATATATATTACGATGGTTTATATATTTTCTAAGATTGGTGGGTTTATTTGAATTATGCCCTTGGGTCCCAGTGTTGTAGATTTTGTATCTACAACATAGTAGATTATAGTTGGAAAGACAGCAGAAGTGGTTAAACCACTATCTGTTAAGTTAATGGCCCTCGCCAGGCCGCAAAAACCCTCCATTTACATGTCTAAAGAGCTGGCAAAGAAAAGGTGTGTTGCCATAGTGACAAGTGCCCGGGAAGCAACCCCATATATCCTAAAAACACTACATTCTCCACTGAACTTCACTCTAAGGAAACTGAACCCTGGGTAAATTCAGGAACCCCTGAAGTCTCTCATCACTCCAAGTGTGTGCAACAATAGTCATTATTCAGAAACATTACTCTTTGCAAACTTTAATCAATATGTGTGCAATCACATCTTCAACGATAGCTTTGCAAACATGTGGACTAGAAGCAACACCTTTTTATTTGAAAGTTCTAATTCTTGGCATGGGAAAATGGGCCTTGGGAGCCACAACATGTAGCTTTCTTTGGGCATTCAAAAAATATATATGTGCAGGCTTAATGTTTGGGCATGGGGATATGCATGCAAGCCCTGCCCCCAACGTACAGACACACATGTTCTGGAGCCTCTATGAAGGCCTGAAGAAATGCTCTAACCAGCTGAATATGGTAACAATCTTCCCTCAGATCAGAAACTCTGCACGAGGGGAAGGGCCATATCTCAGTGGTAGAGCATCTGCTTTGCTTGCAGAAGGTCGAAAGTTGAATCCTCAGCATCTCCAGGTGTAGGGCTGTCGAGGTGTAGACTCCTGCCTGAAACTCTGGAAAGCTTCTGCCAGTCAGTGTAGACAATATTGAGCAAGATGGACCAATGGTTTAAGGCAGCTTCCTTTGTTCCTTTTTTCCCTAATTAGAGCTCCTGTTTGAAATGAGGATTCTAACCCCATCCATCTGAACATGGTTAGAATTCCCCAATACCCTGAAGAAAAGCAGGTAGGGTGGAAGACACTGGGATGTCCCTCATTGACACACACCTCTCAGACTGCCCCCCTACTCAGTTTAAGCCCTCACACATACTGTTAAATGCATGAGACGAGATTATGCATTATCATTAGAAAAAATAAGCTCTAGCTAGTTGAATATAGCAAGCCTATAAACTGGTGAGAATTTCACTCAAATTAATGAATGGAATCTGAGCTGACAGATATTTGAAAACCGGAATTTGCCTTAGCCGTAATCTTTCCTGAACCCAATATTGTGCATGAATTGTAAACTTTGTAATGCCTTTCAGAAGAAAAGGTAGAAAAAATGACCAGACAGTAATATATGTAGAAAAAGTTCCTCTTTGCAAAAACAGAACCTGACTTTTCTTCACTGGAGGCTACGTTTCCAAATGTATCATGGATGCCCAAATGAGAATAACACAGAAAATAAATAACAATAATATTGTGTGTGCAGCTCTAAATTTGTCAAAACCAGTTTAGTCTTGAACACAACTATAGGTAAACCTTCCCTTTATGTTCTGGTTCAATTTTCATATGTCTTCCAAAAATAGGGTTAGATTAAAAATGCATTGAGATTCATTTTTTACAATAATGACTGTGGGAAATGTAAATAAAATGTAGAAGGAAATAATTCTGAAAATCATAAGTTGGTATACAATTGTGGAGAAAAACACTATATATGTTAATGTTTATTCCTATCTATGTGAGCTGTATCCTGAGGAAATGTTCAGATAGTATCACTGATGCCTGCATTTTTGCCTGTTTCCTATAGCAAAGGTTACAGATCAAGCTGGAAATGCAACAATACTTAGAGAGTTTGATGTTTGGTTTCACAATTCCTAATCAACAAACAAATTCATCTGCCAATTTACAGATTCCTCCAAGCTTACCAAGCACAAAGAGTGTCCCATTTGAAATCAAATGCCTGCTTCAAGTTCTGACAAGAATATATATGAAGTCTATCAATAGCTTCAGTTACAGAAGGGCCATAGCTCAACAGTAGAACTTCCACTTTGCATCCAGGAGGTTCCAGGTTCAAACCCCAACATCTCTAGGTAGGTCTGGGAATTCCCCCTGCCTGAACCCCGGTTGAGCTGCTGCCAGATAGTGTTGACAATACTAAGCTAGATGAACTAATGGCCAAACCTAGGATAAAGCAGCTTCCTATGTTCCCATGTTTTGTACAATATAAACAAATTTATGGCCCACCTTTCTTTGCGAGAATCAAAAGCAGAGAAAAGTGCACTCATCTGGTTGGCCACTGGGAGAAGAGGATACTGGACCAGATGGGCCTTTGGTCTGATCAAGTAGAACTCTTCTTATGTCTTCAAGAAGTGGTCAGAGTATTAATGACTATAAAAATTGGATATATTATTAGATGATGATCTATAAAAATAATAGCTGGTGGAGCTTATCTTCCTCAGATTTTCATTTTTAGGGTGCAAGTAAGCTATTGTGAGCCTGTCATAATAAATCTGACTTCCTGCGGTGGATAGGTGCAGAAGGGAAAGATCTATAACTGGGAGAATGTCCCAGGCCAGACATTGTGATGTTCCCAAAGCAGCAGCATTGGTCCATTTTCTCCTTTATAATTCCACATCCCTTAAATTGTTGCTGAACCAAGGGCTGCAGGAAAATATAGCACATGAATGTAGCTTTCGGTCTTCCATTTATTTCTGACATATTTCTAATTATGTCTAACAACTCCAGAAAGTTGTCACCCATTTACACCTTCGCCTTTGTGATTTCTTTCCTGACAAGCCTGAACTATTCAGTTACCAATCTCTTTACTGATTGTCCTTTATTTCCACAGCCTGTGTGATTTCACTTTTGATTTTCAGATGGGTAGATAGTTACTCACTAACATATGAAAGAAGGTGCTGTTGGGATATTCTATCATGGCAATAAAGGGGATAGTTTGGAACAGAGAAGTGATGGGAAGACTAAGGTTCCACTCAACTCCACTAAATCTTTTCTGCCTTTGGGATTTCATTACATAGAAATACCATCCATGCTTGGTAGTTAGGAAAGGAACCCAAGTCTCCCTATTCACTGCTGTCTCTTGAATGGGTATAGGTATTGATTAGTAACTTTAATGAAATGAAGATTCTGCTCCTTATAAATTGTTAAGGATTAATTGGCTATTTATTGGTTTGGTTTATAAAATCTGTTTCTGCCTTACATCAGAGGCAAACTTATATAACCATGAGGTAGGTGATTCTCAGGCAATTTTAGTATCTTAGGATGAAAACCGGTTGCCTTGCAAGAGAGAAATGCTCTGTACATAGTTGTCATTTGTAATTTTTGTTCTAGTCTTTTGTCTGACAACTTGGAAGATTACAGGTTTTTCTTTCTCTTGTAAGACTACAACCTCCAGCAGCATGTCTAGTTCTTTTAAATATACACAGTCACAGTGGATGGGGGGGGAAATAGGAGATGGGTGAACTATGAAATTTTATGCACCTAAACAGATGTCTGTAGGAAACCTGCCAACAGGACCCACACATAAGAGGACTCTTTGCTCCTGCAGTTTCCAGCAGCTGGTATTCAGAAGTATTACTGCTTCCAGCCATGGAGGCAGAGCACAGCCACAATGTCTAGTAGCCACGGACGGCCTTTTCCTCCATGTATTTGCCTAGACCTCTTGCAAAGCCATCACTGCCTTCTGTGCATTGTGTGAAGAAGTACTGACTTTTATGTATCCCGTCTCTCCCAACATTCAGCTTCATTGGATATCTACAAGGCATGTCTACAAGTTCTAGTGTTAAGAGAGAGGGAGGAAAACATTTCTCTGTCCACTTTCTCCATTCCATGTATAATTTTAAAAACTTCTGTCATGTCACCTCCTACTCACCTTTTTCCTCTATAAAAATTCCCAGATACTGCAACCTCTCCTCACAGGGCAGTTTTTCCATCTCCTTGATCATTTTGGTTGCCCTTTCCTGAATCTTTTTAAACTCTACAATACCCTTTTTGAGGTGAGGGGACCAGAGATGTACATGGTATTCCAAATGTGGTCTTGCCATCAATTTCTATAATGCCATTGTGATGTCAGCAGTTGCAATTCCTTCCCTCATAATCCCTTAGCATGGAATTTGCCTTTTTCAAAGCTGCTGAGCACTGGGTTGCCATCTGCATGCATCTGTCTATTGTCTCATTCCTGGTCAGCTACCACCATTTCAAGGCCCCATTAGCACATATGCAAAAATAACATTTTATTTTGTACCCACATGTATCACTTTAAAGTGGTTTACATTGAATTGTATTTGCCATTCTACCGCCCATTCGCTCTGGAGTTATTCTCAATCTCTTTTGTAAGATAAATATATAATAATAACCAATCTTTAGAAAATTAATCAAGTTTCAAAATATGGATGTGCTCGTGCTATTGTTTCTTTTGTTCAGTATCCTGGATCATGGCCAATTAGACTTAATGTAATAAACCCTATTGTGTTACAAAAGCCTTTCTGATATAACTGAGGTCTGGAATGGTAGATGAAAAATCAAGACTGCAGATCAGAGGGCAGCAGGAAGAAGCAGTGCCCTTTCAAGCAACAATTAATAAAAAATACATCCAATTCTTACTCATTTTCCTAACTAGAAAGTGAGGTAATGCCCAGTATATTTTCTGGATCTTCCTCAAGCTCGTGCTGTCCTTTTTATAATTAATTTGGTCAAACTTTCCCCGCCATTCGAATTTGCTCCCAACTCGGCTGCATCAATAAAGGATATCTTTCCAAGTTCACATCTGTACAAAACTTTATCACCAAAGTGCTCAGTCAAAGAAGTTGTGTTGGGGTTTGTTGTCATTTATATTGCAGACAGACTACTCCAAGAGCTAATTACTTTAAAGAGTGCATATTTATGATCCAGATGTGAAATCTTTAATGAAGTGAAATTTACAGCCAGCCGGGAACCAAGGTGTTATAAAAAATTTGCCGTACAATAAGGAACGCATGGAAAGATGTCAAGCTTTGTTTTCCAATTTACTGCTGTCAGCTTGTATGGAGCAGACCAACAGCCCTCCAGCTGCCTTTCTAAAATTAATGTTAGTTTAAGGAAGATCAATGATTCCTCTGCCACCAGCATTATCTTTTCGGTGTTCTTTGCAGCTTGCTGGTTTATTTGTCATAGGCAAAAGAGAATCCTGCATTTGAGTCTTCTAGGTGCATAAATAAACCACAGCACCAGCAAGAATGCTGGACTGCGAACTGCTTAAAAAGTGCTGGGTCTTTCTTTCTTTTTGTCCTGACTTTTATGGGACTCATTGCTATGTGCAACAGCTTAAGCCACAGTTCTCTTAATTTCTTCATTCAACATCCCCGCCCCCTTAGGGCATTGTTTCCTTCATGTCACACTGGCGGTCTCGTCACAAAGCGGGGTTGCGCTCCCCTCTTCCCTCCTGTACCACAAACTCTGACTATTAAATGGTTCCTGTAACAGAGCAATTTATACTTTTCCAGCAGGGTTAATTAGCTGTATTTGTGGCCTTGACAAACTCCATTTATGGGATGGATAGGGAAAATTGCACCCCATGGATCATGTTACACCCTTCTGTGGTTTTTAATACAACTGTGCCCAATATTGTATAATGCCAGCATCTCACGATCATCTGGGCACAGTTTCTGGCACTGCCTTTGTTTGGTTCTACTCATTCCTGGCATGGAAGTCTGAAAGGGGGGGGGGTGATGCCCAGTGAAAAGTACCAAAATTTCATGTCCTAGACAAGGAGAGAGATCTGGAAAAGCACCAATACTGACAAAGGAATCCCTCTTTCTTTGGCTCATTTTAAAATGACATCATCATTATGATTATGATTATTATATACTCCACCTATTTACCTGAGAGGGGTTCAAGGTGGCTTACAGATAAAAGTAGAAGAGCTACAAACATATTCAGCATTCTGGGTACAGTTTTCCCTGGGGGCTGGGGAAAGAGAGTTCCATTCATCAGCTTCAAAGAGAAAAAACAACTACCAGACTTTTAGAAGACATCTGAAGGAAGCCCTGTTTAGGGAAGCTTTTAATGTTTAATGGACTATTGTATTTAAATATTTTGTTGGAAGCTGCCCAGAGTGGCTGGGGAAACCCAGCCAGATGGATGGGGTATAAATAAATTATTATTATTATTATTATTATTATTATTATTATTATTATTATTATCTTGACACCTATGAATGTCTGATGCAAGATGGCATCAAGGTTACTATGACTGTGTAGAAATTAGCTGAGTGGCTGCATTGTCAATGAGCACGTATACCCTCAACTGCTGGGAAGCACATCCCTAGGCCTTGCTTGGCTAAGCATTATCTGCCCTTCTGCTTCCAGGTCTTTTTTGTGTAAAGATGGTTTCTGATTTTTATCTTATGGCCCCTGTTATGAAACACCTACTTGTGCCTGAATGCAGCTTGTTGGGGGTCAATGACACTCATGGCTGGTATTAGGTGGGCTGGTGTTGTTATTTTCTATTCTGTCCTCAAATTTACAATTTACAATGTTACCCCTTTTTCTTGATTGTCCTTTTATTGGTAATGGGTTCTCATGCCTGCGCTTATAAGCTGCATAATAAGCGGTGTAATAAGGTATTGGATTTATCCTGGTATGATTTCTTGGACTAAGCTTGGCTCTGAATCTGATACCTGACTACTTGGTGCTATGCTACTGAGTAAGCTGTGGCACTTGGGGTTCAAAAGACAGAGAGTGGACTGTTTGGTCCTTGCCTTTGTGAATCCCAAGTACATCCAGACATAGCCTGAATTTCCCTTGGCTTAGATAGGGGGACTATGGTGTCAGTACTACCTGGCTTTAACCTGGTTATTCAAGATAATGGTTTTACATCCAATCACTCTTCACAAGGAACTCTGGGAACTGTAGCTCTGGCAGGGAAATATAATACCCCCCCTCAGCAACCTTCACAAACTACAGCTCCCAGAGCTCCTTGGTGGAAAGCCATGACTGTTTAAAGTGGTATAAAGGTAAAGAGACCCCTGACCATTAGGTCCAGTCGTGGCCGACTCTGGGGTTGCAGTGCTCATCTCACTTTATTGGCTGAGGGAGCCCGCGTACAGCTTCCGGGTCATGTGGCCAGCATGACTAAGCCACTTCTGGCGAACCAGAGCAGCACACGGAAACACTGTTTACCTTCCCACCGGAGTGGTACCTATTTACCTACTTGCACTTTAACATGCTTTCGAACTGCTAGGTTGGCAGGAGCAGGGACCGAACAACGGGAGCTCACCCCGTCGCAGGGATTCGAACCGCCGACCTTCTGATCGGCAAGTCCTAGGCTCTGTGGTTTAACCCAGAGCGCCACCTGTGTCCCTCTTAAAGTGGTATAATAGTGTTTTAAATGTATGGGGTGAATGTAGCACTGCATGTTAAGATGAAATCTTTCCACCAACGACTATGTGCCCAAGCTTGCAGGCCATAGAACTGGACTGCAGCATGTACGTTTCCTTTATGGGGGAAGGTTTTTCCTCCCTTGCATGGATATAACGTGCAGCCATCCAGAGGGGGATATGTATGCCCCTCTCTCCTTGGCATAAGACCTGAAAATATGGAGGAAGAGGAATGCATTGTTTCATTGCAGCATCCACATCTTTTGAAAAGTCACCCGCAGTCACAAACCTGTGTTTGCTTCTGCGTAGTGTGTGAAAAGGCCCAAAGTCTTACAATGAAAGTTATGTCTTTATTCTGTGGAGGAAAAGGGAGAGCATGCGGTAATAAAGCAACATGAATGAGTAACGTGAGCTTCTCCAAATACACTTCCCATTGATTCTGCTGGCTTTAGCAACTGTCGATTCCAGCTGTCTGCTCCTTTTCAAATATTTGTTCCTGCTCATTCACATTCCAAATGGTTCTCCGTTTTGCAATATCTGCTCTCATCTCTTGCTTTGTCCCTTTCCTTCCTTTGTAAGCATTTCACAGTTTTGCAGCCTTGAGTCAAGATCAGAAGCTGGATTTCTGCAGAGCTTAGTTTTCTGTGAAGCTTTTGTGTAACCGTTTCTCCACCCTCCTCCACTGCTGGTATACTAATTTTAATGCTATTCTTTCTGACTGCTCAATGTAGCTGTGATATACACTTCACACAAATCATATCTTGCTTTTAGCTAAATGGGAAAGGACCATAAAGAACCCAAATTCACAGCCTATGAAGGATGAGTTGAATTCTGGCGAGTCAATTGCCCCCAAATTCAGATCCCTAGTTCCTTCTAATTATCTAATGGCAGGTTCTCTTGGTCATTAGAAACAAGATGGCTGTGGAAATCTAATCATTGTCCTGATTGATGTCAGTGTCTCACAGAATTGATACCATACTATAATTCTTATTAGCAAATAGTCTTTTGGGGGGACCAGATTCTCTTACCTTTCAGCAGCCCAAATTAAATTAATAGTTGTTTTATCACCCAGTTTTGATGAATGGATTCCTTAATATGTGACATGTTTTACAGTTTTTACTCATATAATTTGAACATGAACAGGAAGATAAGTGTTATACTCATTTTACAGCTGGAAAGTCCCCGATATCCCACATTTATCCACGGATTATTAATCCATGGTTTGTGTCCCGCTTTAATCCACAGAAAGAGACATCTAGAGACAGGTACGCTGCATTGTGGTGAGCAGGGACTGAGAGAAGGCATCCCTCCGCCCAACTCTGTCACCCAAGCATACCTCCCAGAGCTTCCTCTCCTACCCATTGAATGTGCAAGTGGCCGGAAGTACCACTGGCAGCAATTCAGCCAACAGAAGGCCTCAAAATGTGGCATTCATGCCAGGTAGGGGCTTAACTAGACCAAGATATGTTGGATTCTGAGCTGGTCCCATTACCATCACACAACAGTCTTAGGACCAATCTGTGCAAGCTCCAGGCCTCCCCACCTTCTGCCTTGCCTGGGCAGCCACATGCATGTGGTGGTCCTGCTGTCCCACGAAACTCCACTGGTCAGTGGCTGTGGTAGGACTGCAGCCTCAGGTCATGTATGAAGTCATGGGGGAAATCACCTGTTTAAGAAAATGAGTATGCAATAGGCTGATCCACGCTCCTCCACATCCCATTCAGAACCTGGATCCATGAGTAGCTGTAACTCTGGGCTGACCAGACCCAGATCTAGGCCCAAGTTTGGGGGCCAGCCCTTATTAAATGTGGTAGGTGAGACACGGTGGCCTTTCTGCTGCCTCCCAACTGCATGTTTAATTAAAGTTTAAAAACCCAAATTCAATGTAAGGTCAACAGCCCTTTGTGGTTTATTGCAGAGCCTGCCCCTCCTTCTTGCCGCTTGATGCCCGATACACTGTCTCATAACAGTCCAGGATCGCTTTGGGTGGGTTTCCCAAATTGGGCCCGATTCAGTTTCAGATCTGGGCTCTGACCAGATCTGGCACGCAAGCCTAATATTTACAAATATCTTCAAGGATTAAATAAACATATCCAGCAGTTCCAACTTTTCTTAGAGCCCAGGTCAGCAGGCTGGGGTCTTGGGCAGTAGAGGTGCACTCAGGTAAGCATCAGAGAAGAGAAAAAGGTGCTCCCACAGCTGTGTTTGACAGCTCTTGTGCCCTTGTGCTAAGGGTAAACTGGAAGGGGGATTTATTGAACTCCCTATCCAAGTTTTCCTGTGCAAATCACTGTAGTTGCAGAAGGATCAGAAATGGTTTGTGTGCTGTTAGTTCTTGTATTATTTGCTGTGACTTACGGGGAGAATGCCTTATATCTTCCTCATGAGCACTCAGTCTGGCAACTGCATCTTGTTTGTAGCTGAAAACAAACTTTCAATACATATTTTCTAAAAAGGGGAAGTGAGAATGCATATTATAAAAACAATTTGGAAATAAATATTTTTTATTTTATTTTACACAGCAAAGATCAACAGGATTTATTCCATTCTTGACAATGTCAGTTAACAACCCATTTATGCTATTTATAAAATAATGCCAATAAAATATCTGTTTTTGTAATTATTTATATTGCCCTTTATTCTAACTACATATACACCCATGTAATGTGCATAGATAACCATCCACATATGCATAAATTAATTGATAAGGTAGTTTGTGGTCTAACAAAGAGCTGAAAATAGGTTCTTGCATTTTACTCCAGTGAGTTGGGATGGCAGAAAGGGACCAAAGTTAAGATTAAAAATAAAATTAACAGGATAGTTTTATCTAAATCAATGCACAGAAGTGATAAAAATATACAAACCAGCAATAATTGAAATATAAGAATTTTTAAAATGTATGAATCGGTTGCAAAAAGTAAAAACATTCGATTAACCAAGCAGTTACTGAATTTCATCCTTCTAAAACTTCCAAACTAGTTAGAAACTTTCTAATTGCACAGCCATATAGCAGTTTAAGTTAAAAATTTTAAGGATGGAGGAATTATAGTAGCCAACAGTTGCAGGGAGAACCACAGGTGGACCAAAGCTCATAATGAGATCAGGCTTGCAAGAGAGGTAACAATAAATTTTCAAAGGTTTCTTTGGCTGTGTTTGAAGCAAGAGGAAGAACAAGCAAGTAATTGGTCCTCTGCATTGAGAAGACAGAGAAATGCTATTGGGTGACACAGAGAAGGTGGAACTGCTCAACACCTACGTTGCCTCTGTGTTCACCCAAAAGGAAAGCAGTGCCCAACCTAGTCATAACAGAATAAATGATGCAAGGAGGGAGCTGCAGCCCAAGGTGGTAAGGGAACACCTGGATATTTTTAAGGAATTCAAATATCCGGGGCCTGATGAGCTGCACACAAGGGTGCTAAAGAAGCTTGCTGATGTAATACCAGAGCCTCTGTCTATAATATTTGAGACTTATTGGAGAACAGGTGAAGGCCCTGCAGACTGGGGACAGGGAAATGTTGTCCCATCTTCAGAAAGGGGGAAAAGAAAAGAAAACCTACATAACTACTGACCAGTTAGCTTGACATCAATGACAGGGAAGATACTAGAAAAGACAATTAAATGGTCGGTCTGTGAGCCCTTAGACGCTATGATTACTAAGATCCAGCATGGATTTAGCAAAACTAAATCATGCCAGATGATTCTCATTTTTTTTTAATAAGAGTTACAAGCTTGGTGGATCAGGGGAATGCAGTGGACGTAGTGTATCTTGATTTTGGTAAGGTGCTGGACAAAGTCCCCCATGATCATCTTGCAGAGAAGCTAGTAAAATGTGGGCTGGAAGATGTAACTGTTAGGTGTCTAGACTGCATCAGCAGAAGTACAGTGTCCCAATCAAGTAGTCCTGCTCTATTCTGCCTTGGTCAGATCATACCTGGAGTAGTTCTGGCTAGGACCCAAACCAATTGATTAAAGTTACAAGAAAGGAGATTCCTACTAAACATCAGGAAGAACTTTCTGATGGTAAGAGTTTGACAGTGGACCAGACTCCCTTGGAAGGTGGTGGACTCTCCTTCCTTGGAGGTTTTAAGCAAAGTTTCGATGGCCATCTGCCATATATGCTTTTGTTGAGATTCCTGCATTGCAGGGAGTTGGACTAGATGACCCTGGGGTCTCTTCCAATTCTACAGTTCTATGATTCTATATAGCTACCAATCCAAACAGGGAGCTGTGAATCTGACTTCTGTAGAGTCAGGAGGGGAAGCTGAAAAAAGATAACTCCAGGTTTCAAGGAGGAAAATATGTTCAGATAAAAATAAAGAGAAAATTGGAAAAGCAAAGTCTGAGCCTCACAAGGGAATAAACATAAGGTAAAATCATTTTTTTTAAATCGAAGAAACAAAACCCTATAAAACTTGCATCTGTTCAAAACTTTTCATGAGCCAAACACCCAGACCAAAAAAGGCAGGCTAGCAACTTCAAAAACGGAAGGCGGGATATGCTCAAAGCAAGAAATCCCTTCTCTCAAAGAGAAGGCTCCAAAGGCTTCAGAACAAGAAAATTCTCTAGAAAAATGTGGAGCTAAGCAAAAATAAAACTGGGTGAATAATAGAGGCCTAGTACTGAGGTGCAGTCTCTCTTATTCCCTCTCCAAAGATTCCTGTCTCCTGATTTGTTCTCCACCCACCACTTTTTCTCACTGAAATTTGGTTCTGTGTTGATAAATGACATAAGAGGCAAACTCATTTAACTTTCACATCTACAACATAATCTATTTCTAGGATTGTCCTAGTTTGTGCATGAACACATTCTTAATGAAACTAGGTGAAAAATGACTACCTGTGAATTCACGTTTTTCTAAAGTGTATCTACAGTAGTGCTCTTAAGTTGGACATTAAATAAAAACAGAAAGAACCCCTCTCACACACAACACAAATGGAAGGAATAGTTAAGGGACCCAATTATTTCAGTCGTGGAACAGAACAGAAATACACATAAATCAATGCATCCTCCATTTCAAAGAGGCTGTACACATTGGGAGTATTTCATGACATTTTACAAGGATCAGACGAAGGACTTTGCATGCTTCCCAGTTTTGCATCTATAGTAAAAATGCTGGAAGTCACAAATATATTCCAAATATAAGCTTCCATGAAAGATAAACAGCAGCAACATCTCCGTGCAGAGACTTCCCTGTCTGCTCTCTTATATGCTTTAAAATGTTGAAATCATTAGCCAAGACAACAGCACAGCCAAGCACAAAACATTATAAAAATAAATTCAGTTACAGCACAGAGCTTCACCATTGAGGAAGCGTTCAGGATTGAATTACACTGAAAACTGAAATCAAATTTCCTACATGAATCTTCATGTTGGCCTCTGTACATGGGACTTCTAAAGGTAATAATATGAAACATAAAAGCATTTGGAGTTATAAAATAAACTCAATGGCTTGGACCCTAATGAACAGAAAGCTCCTTCCATGAGCACAACTCTCTGTGAATGGGAGCTCTCAAAAGTTGGGATTCAGACCATGAATAAGGCGTGGAAGTCTTGCAGCACCTTCCCTGGATTGTTGAACAATTGAACAATATGAACAATTGTTTTGGCTTGTAACTTGCAAGGCTCATCTCACCATGTAAACTATTGATCAAGCCAGAATATCCTGGAGAAAGACAGGGATGTGGAACCCCTGGATATTGCTGGGCTCCAGCTCCCATCCACCCCAGCTAGGATGGTCAATGATCAGGGATGATGGGGATCACAGGGGTCACGGCTTATCTGTGTGTAGCATAAGATGTCATGCTTTGAAGCAGGGGTGGTTCTAGATTGCTCACTGGATGTTCTCTGGATGCTTCTGAGATCTATAATTCTACAAGGCGGTTCAAAAACTCACTTAGCCAAAAGTAACATCTGATGGGAGGGCGTTCCACAGGGATGGCACCACTACTGAGAAGGCCCTTTGCCTGGTTCCCTGTAATGTCACTACTCAGAGTGAGGGAAACACCAGAAGGCCCTTGGAGCTGCATCTCAGAGTCCGGGCTGGACGATGGGGGTGGAGATGCTCCTTCAAGTATATAGCGCCAATACTATGCTATGATATACTATGGCTGTACTATGGATATACTATGGAAGGATTTTGTTTTATAAGTCACAGGCCAAAGCAACCATTCCACAACAGCCATGCAAGTCCAAAGCCCAATTAAACTGTCCTCTCTTCATCTGCCTTCCCTACAATGCCAGCACATTCCACTAGCACAAGGATTTCTGCTTGTGCAATGGGATTTTCTCTTCTTTCTGTTTCCCTTGTGTTCCCACTTCCCATGTGTTCATTCATAAGTCTGTTCTGACCCGTTTCTGAATTAATCTGCATATTTGAAAAAAGTCTGCATGGAAGTTCATTTAAATTTGCATGTTATTACGGAATACAGATTGATGTGTCTGCATTTTATCTCAATATATTCATTCAAAATTTGTTCTATCCTACATATTTTCAAATGCATTTTTTGAACCAGGAATAGTTATCATAATATCCAAAGAAGTGCAAAATCTGAAGGATAATTACATTCAGATTCATACCTTAGTTTGGAACATGGGCAACAGGTGAGTTCGCACCAGAACTCACAGAGATTGAATACCTCAACCATCTCTAATATGCCCCCTTGTGCTCCCCTGGGACCCACCAGACTGGACCGCTGCATTAATCCAGTGCCTGCTGCCCTAAGGCCTTTGTGTTACCTCTGCCCTAAAAAAATGCAAGCTGTCTTGCACCTCCCAGAGAAGAATGAAATGGCTTCTCGTTTTCCACCAAGCGGAAAGGTCACAGCACCAAGCAGAAAGGACTCATGACTGATTATAAGCAACAGTGACATACTACAGCTGCATTAGCTTCTCCCGTCATATATTTCAAGTCACAATTTTTGGAGATAGTACATTTTTGAGGATAAGATAAAATAAAAGAGGAATTATTCAATTAGATTTCAATCTACCTCATGGTATAATTTCTGAAACAGTTTAATCTGAAAAAGTCATAAACATAAAAAGTAGCCTCTGGGAAAGCATTTTCAGATGTCAGTGATTCATTGCCTGCGAGTTCATTTACCTGCGAGTTCATTTACTCGTTTTTAAGGAGACTTGTGGACAGTATTTTATTACTGTGGTGACATTTTGGATTAATCACAACAAGGCTTGGTGGCATTGCTTGTGAAACATCTCCCTCCCAGTAACAAATATTTGAAGTATGAGAGTGTGTAAAATGTCCCATTCAATATTTCATAATGGAAATGTAAAATATTGTCATTATTAAAAGAGCTTTTAAAGCAAAACAGACACGCCCATCCAAAAATGAGGGAGAAGGGAAACTATCTTATTTATAACTACAATTTGTTGCTATCTTACTTTGCTTGTTCTGCCATTTTTGTTTAAAATGCTAACATATTGAAATATGTGACATACTCCATAAACATATGTGAAAACTACAGATATTCATGGATATAAAATATCTTTCCTCAGTTTGGCTTCTGACTGCTCTCATTGCCCTGGGGGAAGACTGACTGACCATCTAGAACAGAGGCTCTCAAACTTTTTTCTCTGGGCCACACTTTCAGATTAATAATTTGCTCACGCCACACCAATTTTTTTTATTTATAAGAAATTTATTGGTGGGCGAAAAATAACAACAACTAGCAGTGCTTGATTCATAACATAGAACGCAACTACTTCATAATATGACCATGGGACATCCAGAAAGTATCAAACAATGCAGCTACATAAGAACATGAATCATTCCTAGAATATAATTATAAACAAGCCTCTTACATATGTACTTTAAATATGCACACAAACTCAGTGAGAGGCGTGAGCTTGCTTTA